ATAGTGTGAAGATGGGAATGAATTGAAAGTGTGAAGACGGGAATGAATTGATAGTGTGAAGATGGGAATGAATTGATAGTGTGAAGATGGGAATGAATTGATAGTGTGAAGATGGGAATGAATTGATAGTGTGTGAAGATGGGAATGAATTGATAGTGTGAAGATGGGAATGAATTGATGTATGGTGTTGGATTAACCATTGATTAGAAGAAGCTAATCATGTAGGCACTGAGTCTCGACCCATACATCTTGTATTTACTTCTTCAATGTTCTACTGTATCAATGATTTCAAGTTGTAGAAAGGCTTAATAACAACTTTAGATCAGGGTGTCTGATTCAGCTTGACAATTTTCTAGGTTGTTTGGTCAGATATTCTGATTTAACGGTTTACCAGCCTTGTCTGACTAAATTAATAAAAGGGCTAAGGTCTGCTTTTTACCAGACCTGTCTAAATGAAGCTTGACAAATTCTTCTTCGATTTAACATGAGAGAGGATGTTCTTAATGAATAAATTGTTTAGGCAGTTATCTTGAAGTTTAGATTTAAATTGTCTGATCAAATCATTTTACAACTGTATTAGACAATTCACCTGAAAAATTAAAATTCTTCTGAATTACTTATAAGAAAGTTATATCTATGCAAAAACAAGTGAACTGGCTAAAATCCCTTAACAGGGTTGACTCCTTTAATAAGATTACTCAGTAGGGAGCTGTATAATGTTTCTATTGACTAGTTATTATTATTAACTTAGATACACTGACTGATCTACATCATAGATTGATAGAGGATAGTCTGAAACATAGTGACTTTATATACCTGACCTCTGATATACGTAGATCTGTCTGAAACTGACAGCTCCATTGAACATAATAAAAATTATGCATTCTGCTCTCTGATAGTTTTTAATGTAGGTCTTATTTGCTGATAGTTGTCATTGACGGAGGTCAGTTTGAGACTTAATGACTCTATCTCCACCTCTTTTGCATCACCAAAAATAATATAATTTATCAAAAAAGAAAGGATGAATTTTTTTAAATACAAACAGG